ACTTATGACAAATGACAGAATACACTCAACATCGGAAAAAAGGTGCCGCGGCCCTTGAGACGATCACCTCGCCGGACCTGCCGGACCGAAACGCCACCGAACTGCCGCAGGGAGGGAGAGGGAGGAGAGCCACAAGCAGCAGGGAGGAGAGCCACAAGCAGCAGGGAGGAGAGCCACAAGCAGCAGGGAGGAGAGCCACAAGCAGCAGGGAGGAGAGCCACAAGAAGCAGGGAGGAGAGCCACAAGCAGCATTTGATGGGCGCAGGACAGAGAGCAGGACTCCGGTGGAAGGAGAAGGAGGTGGACTCTGTGTTTACATCATGATGATTGGTGCTCAAACATATTGAAAGTTGACGGACAATGTTTTCCTGATGTCGACTTTTTGATATTAAGATGTCGGCCACATTATCTGCCCTGAGAAATTGGTTTTGTTGCTGATGTTTACATTCCTCATGATGCAAATACAAAAATGCACTACAGGAACCCACTACTGCTTTTCTTTTGTTCTGTTGTTACAAACGGACTATAACTGCATTTGGTTGTGCATCCCTGTGTTGCATAATGACTATAAATTATCCTTGAATCCATGAATCATCTCTGAACCTTGGGGAGTCTCAATTGTCAAATCAGTACAAAAATACTACATTATAAACTCTACATGTGGTATTTTTTTAGTAGAAAACTGCACACTGTATATTGGCTTGGTGGAAGAAGCCAAACTATCACCGTGTGTACACACTACTGGATGTTAGCGAGAACATGTGTTTTGTGTGATTTGACTGAATTGACCCTTTTTCAGATCAGAGCCAACACATCAGTCCCTCTTCACATCCTTCCTTCCCCTCTCCTGCGATCCGTCTGCAGCCTTCTCCTTCATCACATTTTCCTCTCGTCTCTCCTCTCAGCAGCATGTTGTACAGTCTGGGTCTCTCTCCTGGGGGCTGCACGCTGTGTGTGTGTGTGTGTCTGGGATGGCAGACAGGCCTGACCCACTTACCGAACACTTTCCCCCCCTTCCTCCTCCTCCTCCGTCTTCACTCCATCTCTCACTACCCGTCGTTGACTTGCTGTACATTTATATGCGTCTCTATCACTCCGCTGTGTTTGGTATGTCTGTCCGTCTCATCCCTCTAGAATCATGTGGGGAGGGGTCTTTAGCCATTTGCATTCCAGAGGTGTTGCCACACACCCACACACACACACGTACACACACTCCTAGTCCCTGCTGGAGACACTCAGACATTCTGTGTGTGCAACATCTAAAGATAGAAGAAGACAGGCGAGTGGGGATAGTAAATACACAAATATCATCGAAGACAGATAAGAGAAGTCCGGGTGGACATCGGGGTTTGTGCATTTATCAGGCGCCCTGATAACTCAAGGGCGCCTGATAAATATCAGGCTTTCTGAAGAGTGAAGCTGATCGGGAGGTGTTTTAAACTTGCATTCTCTCTCCTGACCAGCAGTCCGATTGTATGGAAGTCTATGAGAAAATGACTCTACTTCTCTCTTGATTTATTACCTCAGTAAACATTTTAAACATGAGTTTATGGTGTCAATCTACGGTACAGCGTGATGATCATTTAGTAAATTATGGTCCACTTAGAGTCAAATAGACCATAAAGCAGGGGATGCTTTAGGGCGGGGCTACTGTGATCGACAGGTCGCTGTCGCTACCAGAGACGTATACACCGTCTACATCACTTCTTCGCCGTCCAAATATGGCCATTTCTGTTCACTGGTTGCAAAAAAAAGCCAAGATGGCGACAGCCGTGATTCAAGATGGCGGCGGCCAAAACGTCAAACTCAAGGCTTCAAAACAGCTGTTCACAAACCAATGGGGGACATCATGTTCACTAGGTCCACTTCTTATATACAGTCTGTGGCATGTCCATCCAGACAGGAAAAGTGCTCAGAGACTGTGTGCAGAAAGAAGTAAATGCACAAACTGCTTTTGTATTTTATTTTGTGTGTGTGTATGTGTGTGAGTCAGTGTGTGATGTGATGGAAGACCGGCTGAACGAGGCCTTGATAGAGGAACGAGACAGTAATAAGTAAACTCAATTAGCCCGGCTGTGTGCGTCTGTGTGGCGCGAAGCCTCTGGCCCGTCACTTACAGCACAGGGAGACTCATAAATCCTGATTATTTTAGCTAACGAGAACTCGCTCCCATCTCAATAAATCACAGGTAAGTGCATCCGCGAGGAGCATCAAACTGGCCCGAGCTGTACGCACACTCACATGGAGGCACGTGCGTGCATGGTAGCCGGGTTGTTTGCTTAAATAAGGAGCTTAATAAAGCCCAACGTCTGAGAAAACCACCGGTGGTGTGGTCTAGAGTAGTCTTATTGTAGATTATAAGAAGCTTCATATGAATAGTTTGACATGTTGTGAAATACGCTTCTACATTTTGTTACCAGGAGTTGAGAAAATCAGGACAATTTTCATGTCTTTACGCTAAATCAATACATTTTCACTCCAAACGTCAAATACCGGCACTGACCACACGTCGGTATTTGAAGTTGGGAGTGAGACCCGGTTGGCTCAATATGAAGCTACAGTTAGCATCCGGTTGGCTTAGCTTAAAGACTTGAAACAGTTAGCTTAACTCTGTCAAAAAGTAACCACCTACAAGCATTTCTAAACCTTAAAGTTAGCCTACAGCCTCCATTAATCAACATGTTATAACTTGTTTAATCTGTTTCAAAAACTGAAGTGTAAAAGTGACAACCTTGTGGTTTTAAGGGTTTTGTTTACTGGAATATTTCTTGGCTAACAGGTTAGCAATGCAACAACATTTAGCATGTTAGATGGTGAGCATTAGAGGAGCTGGAGAGAGGCCTTTGTTACCATTGGACAAAGCCAGACTAGCTGTTTCCACTCTCTCCGCTAAGCTAAACTAAGCTACGCAGCTCCTGGCTGTAGCTTCTTTTTTACCACACACAGTACATGAGAGTGGTGTCAATCTCCTCTAAATCTCAGCAAGAAAGTGCATTTCCCAAAATCTGGGAACAATATATTTAAACGGTCTTCATGCAGGTGGCGTCAGTATCAGAAAAAGGATCGCAAACAGTCTCACTTCAAATGAGATTCATGTAAGGGATCCCAATGCGGCGTGTAGTGTTTCCTAACCGGCCGTTTGGTGTATGGGAATATAATATCCGTGAGAGTGAAGCCAGTAAGATGTCACTCTGAAACGTAGCCGAACCAGCTCATTTCTTATGAATCATAGAGGAATGGAGCTACTGGAACACCAGCGTGGGAAGCTGGAGTCCTCTTAGCGGTGGCATTAGCTTGAACCCTGAGCTGCTCCCTCCGGTCAACACTTGGCTTCTTTCGCCCGCCAAGTCTGGTAGCTGCCGCTGTTCCTCCTCCGAAAAACCTCTTCACAACGTGAAATCTAATCTCTCGTCTTTACATCCTCAGACCGGTGGCTAAAACTGTGGTTTTGCAGAGAGAGAGAGCGAGAGCGAGAGAGCCCGGGGGCCTAATTCCTGGAGGTTAATGTCAAACCATAAACCATAACCGCAACCTCTCCCTGTCTTCCATCTTTGTTTCTTCTCAGCGCTTGACCACAAACGCATCCCTCCTACTGTCTGAGCTGTCAATCATCTCTCTTCCCATCATCTCTGCAAATAACTAACACACACACGCACACGCACGCATGCACGGAATTGAAGCTGTACAACCTGGGTGTGTTTGGAAATCTACACGCAGGATTTTGTAGCCAGACTGGGTCAAGTGGACATTGTTCTGGGGCCAGACAAACAGTGAAAGCACACACACACACACACACATAATACAGTCACCTTGAGCTGTCTTTACCCTTCTCACACACACACACACACACACACTGACAGACAGCAATGTATAAGCCAGAGGCGGCGTAACAACATCAAAGATTGAGAGAGTTGCGGCGGGAGGAAATTGCTGCTCCCCACCTCGGTGTGGCGGGATGACATCAGAGGCGTGGGTGGCAGAGGGGTGTCGGGGGGGCCTGCAGCACCAGGCGGTTTATTTTTTTTTTTTGTGGGACAAGAGACGGGAGGAATCGGGTCGGCCGGGGAGTGTTAGCTCCTATCATTAACAGCCCTGACGTCATGGCACTACATTGGGAAATGGCCCGGGAGACGGTCTGGATGTGACCGGGGAAAGTTTGGGAATAAATTTGCATAGATTTACGTGCTTCACCTCAACTTTGGGATTGAGATGTGAACTGAGGTTCGGAGTGTGACTCAGCAGCAGAAGGGAATGTGATTTTTAAATCCACTGGTCTTTTGGAGTTCAAATATTTTCACGCTTGACGCAATTTTAGTGTCAGTCCTGCGAAAGGTGCATTATACTTTTTGTATGAATTTAAGGAGTTTCATAATGCAGATTTTCGCACATTACAATCAAGAAATCTCACAACTTCCTGAAAAAAAAAAAAAAATCAGACTCGCCTAAGTAACAAAGTGGAAAGTCTTGACATCTGTAATGAAAGCACCAATTGTGTACCCTTTTATTCACTAGAGAATAGCCGTCTACTGCCAGGACAAATATAACATCCATATACTGCAAATGTAATTTACCCGACTCACTGTTGTTATTGCATTTCTCCAGTCAATACTCTCCTGATTCGGAGGATTCTGAGCTGAGGCACTTTTGAAAATGAGCCGTACAATTGATATCTTGTCAGCGTTGTATTATGATCCTAATGATGATGACACATGGACTTGTCTGGTGGAGGGGTGGGTGGGGGGGGGGGGGGGGGGGGAGAGCAGGCACTCAAGGTTTCTACATGTACAGAAATGGATCGACTGTGTGCCCCTGCAGTCCACTGTTGACAAAGTGGCTAAATGATGGGTTTGAATGAGGTATGTGGAGCTAAGACACCATCTAGTGGTAGATTTATATAAGACGCCAACTGAAAACTGTTCAGTCATTTATACGTACACGTATATGCATATATATGGATTATCAAGTCACATGCTTGATACCAAAATACCACCAGGAAACCATTTCTCAGCCACTGATATAAAAATGTCAGCTCAGAATAAACCTTTATTAAAACTACAAGCAAAAACAAAAAGTGGATTGGATCAGTTATACCACAAACTGTCATGAATACAGATGTTCTGTTGTTTTAAATCACCGCATGAAAAGAAAACACTTTCAAAGTCAATTTTACTAAAGCAAAGTAAAACAAACAAAAAAGACCCAAATTGATGTGTCAAAGTTAAAATAAGCCTTTTTAAAACAGACAGCCTACTGCAACGAGTAAAGATTAAAAACATTAACAAATGCAAAGTGACAATTGAGTCATATTGAGTGATGTGGCCAAAACGAGCCCAAAGTGTAATTTTCATCGAAAAGATTTATAAAAACACAAAATATTTCCCAGGAATGATGAATCCAGCATAGAATTTCCAGCTTCAATGTTCCCGTTTCCTGCAAGCATTTTAGGAATACTGGAACTTTACGATTCCACGGTGCTGTGGAATGTAATATGGAATAAAGTGGCTCAGTGCCAGACAACTTCCCTTGATTTACTCGTCTCTTTCTGTATACGCTTCAGAAAACACAAAGTATTACAAAAAACACACTTGTAGAAAGGTTAGAAAGTGATCTTATGAAGACATCATGTACAGTACTCTCTGTGTGTGTGTGTGTGTGTGTGTGTGTGCGCCACTCACTTTGTGCTCAGGAATGTAAAGGACTACATTTAAAAAGATTGTAGGACACTATGAGCGGCATTAAAATTGCAGCATCTTCCCAAAAAAAACAACCGAGAGAAGTAGAACCATCTGCCGACTCAGCATCGTTACTCAGTCACTCCGAGTCCATCTGTCAACCAGGGCGCCTGGAGCAGGCCTCCTGGTAGGACGTGGCGTTGACAACGCCGAACATGTCCCTCCTGACAAAAGACAGGAAGTTCTTCAGAGGGCAGAGCGGCTGTCTGGCGTGGCGGTCGTGGGAGCGACAGAAGCTGGTGTGGAATGTCACGTCCTCGCCGTTGTACAGCACCCTGACGAACAGCTCCCCGTCTTTGGCCTTCGACTTCTCGCCTCTGCCAGCTCTCTTCTTCGCTGGCCCCTGCGTGGCCGGGGGACTCTTCCACAGTTCAAAGACCACTCTCGCCGCGAAACGCGGGAAGCGCGGCTCCTCCAGTCCCAGGGCGCTCAGCAACGGGGCCATGGTGACATCGTGGGCCGAGGAGAGGGTGAAGACCTCCTCACCCCCTGCGCGGGGCTGCCGGCCAGCCCCGTTGTCCCTTGCGACGCGCTCCATCTTGGCGGCGGTCCGGTTGAGGTACGGGTACATGGCCAGGACTGCGTATTTGTGGTACAGCCCCGCTCTTCTCCGATCCGCCTCGTCGTCCAGCTGCTGTCGGCGGATCACGGCAAACTGTGCCATCGTCAGACACCCGCCGGCACCGGCGCCCGCGGGGACGCACGGGAAAGAAATGCCGTGGCACAGGTGGCACAGCAGGGAGTCTATGGGGTTCGCCGCCCGGAGCTGGCGGGTGAGCAGACCCAAAGTCCGTGCCATGTCGGCGTAGGTCCTCTCGAGCTCCGTGTCGCTCACCCGGAGCCGGTACTGCCGCCTCTGCTCCTCCTCCAGGTGCCGGTTCCTGGCGGGGCAGTCGCAGGCTGAGCCGCAGAACAGCGTGCTCCACTGGTGCCGCGCCGTCACTCTCGTCCAGTCGAAGTCCGGGAGGAAGCCGTAGAGGAAGGCCAGGCCGCTCTGGAGGGTGCGGCTCTTGCCCGTGGTCTCGACCCACACCTGGCGGGGCGACCAGTCGGAGGGGAGGAGGTTGTGGCGCTTGTAGGCCTGGTGGAGGAGCTGCCCGTTGCGCAGGTGCTGCACCACACCTGGAAAAGAATGGCAGCAATGGATTGGTTGACACTTGTACATGATGAATGCTCGTTAGCTAAAATCATTTGTAGAACTCGTCAACAGTACACTGGTTGGCAAGAAATCTGCAAACTCTAAAGCAACATTTGTGCACGAACGTTTGACGGTGAAAAGTAAAAACCTGCCTACCCGTCTGCGTGAGCTCTCCCGTCTCACAGGCACTGTGGTTGGGCAGACGCGGGACGGAGCCCAGCGTAGACTCCCAGTGGCCGCGGCCCCCCTGGCCCATGTGGCGGATGAAGGCGTTCAGCAGCGGGTGGGAGGGCTTCCTGTGGGTGGCGAGGGAGGACAAACGGTAAAGAGACGGACCTGATCCTGATGCAGTATATTCAGGTACAAAATGTCTGTACTCGTGGCTAAAAGGCTGCTCAATTCTGCTGTGGTCGTTGGTTGTCATAAGACACGGTTCATAGCCGTGGTATAAGCAGAATGACCCACTTGAACCCATACAGTTATGGAAAATAATGCAACACGGGTTTAACTTTTTTCGCTCATTTTTCATCCTCTGTTTAAGAATTATTAATCTTTAGAGAAATAGTAAAAATGTAAATAACTTATTGGCAGAGAGACACTATTGCTTAGCGGTTGTTTCAGAACAATGGACTGCGTTCCTGTTTTGCATGTAGTGTGTGTGTGTGTGTAGGTGTGTGTGTGTGTAGGTGTGTGTGATGCAGGTGTGTAGGTGTGTGTGTGTGTGTAGGTGTGTGTGTGTGCGTGTAGGTGCGTCGCTGTCCAAACTACTGAAACAAAACTACAGACACGGTTTGTTAGCCTGCTCACTTTTCCTGGTTGTAAAAAGACAGAGAGGCGAGCGGCAAACAAAAAATAAATAAATAAATAAATAAATGTCGGTGCCTCCCTCTGCTGCTTTTAGAGAATCGCTCTGGATTTCGAAGTACATTTAGTGCTCAGATAGCGCTGTGTTCTTATGCGAGTGCTCTGATTAATCTTTGATTTTGAAACAGTAGTCTTGTTGTTATTGTATCAACATGCTGCTCCGATGGTCCCACTAATTAGAATAGTGCAACTTAGTCAACATGCTGATTTATTGACATACACTAAGGAGAATGATTGAAAGACAGTTTTATCAAGAGTATTATTTACGGGCTGATATCTATAATAAAATAGGTTACACATGATTTATTGGGAGAAACGGATCAATTATATGTAAAAATCAGACATTCAGCGCCCCCCATAGAGCCAAGATGGGATGATCCTTTGTTTCATAACCACACTGTTCCCCCACTGAGACGGTTGGACTGTGAGATCGGCGGTGGATTATTCGGGGTCACTACAGCAGAAGTTACAGTCACACGGCCTAGCAGCTTCCTGTTCAAACCACAGCGTTTACCATTGGCCTCTGACTGACAGAGCAGCCGTCTCCTCGTCCCTGTGGATTTACAGCGTCTTGGAAACACAATATTTTGAAAGGAACATGCCGGACGGAATGAGGCGCAAATACATTTTAGAAAATAATCTTGGTTTTAAATGCTGTCATGATCCAGAAAAGAAAGAAAACAACAAATGTGATTTTGCTTAAACAGAGCCTTCACATTCAAGTCACCTTCAGTTCTTTCCTCATGTTAAGAAATATTTTGACACGTCACAGTGGGAACAGTTTATGTGGGGAATGAAATCAACATGCAACTTGTTGCTTTTGTCTTTGACATGACAGAATACTGCATTTTCTCAGCAGTACAATAAAATACAACTTCATTGATACATTTTTTTTCTGCACTGTATATTCTATTCTTCCCAATTTAATATAACTGAATATCTTTAAGTTTTGGTTCATCAAATTGCTTGTTTTCTCACTACTCAGTTTAACAATCAAGAGAACCTCCTCTCATCCTCCACCAGGTGTCTCTCTCTAACACCACACTGCTGGACTACAGCACACTTCAATATGTGTGGGAGGGAATATGGTGAGATGGAGATGTAAAGCGATGAAAGAATGAGTTGATTGGGACAAACACTCACATAAATACATATATACGCCAGTCCACACACACACACACACACACACACACACACACACACAGACAGGGATGAGGGCAGCGAGAGGAGCAGTCAGTGATCTGATAGATTAGAGATGATTGAAGATTACAGTTTAATATTCAAAAAAGAAATCGGTGGGAGCTGTGGCTCAGCTCGCTCGGATTAAAGACACACACACACACACACACACACACACACACACACACACACACACACACACACACACACACACACACACAGTTTCCATAGTGATCGTGGACTGGTTCGGGAACACGGGGTTAAAAAGAGCGTCGGTCATTACCCTTAAATCCCACTTGTGATTGTTGTAACTGACTGAACACAGTAAACATCATCTGCGTCACAATAAAGAAGCGTCAAAGCTCTGGTGTCAGATCCCTACTGAACAACACCAGCCCACATGCTTCTGTTTTCTGGGGGCATTGTTTCCGTTTGTTGTCACGTGCCGTCGGCAGCCTTTGTCCCCGAATCGCCTCCCTCTGCACTTTGATATTCACTTACTCTGTAATGTGCACCACACCAGTGAGATACGGTGCCCACCGGCGCTGCATTCTGCTCCGTCATCAGCAGATCAGAGCGCTGAGGGGTTTGGGCCAATCCAGATTTAATTGGCTACAGCGGGAGACCGGACGTCAGCGGACGGCCACACTGGTGACGGACAAAGAGCCAGCCAGCCCGTCTATTAGGATGATTGTTGCTAACCGAAGATTAAGGAGCCCAATTATATTAAACGGGGATTATTATCACTGGATACGACCGGGGGAAGGCGGAGATTAGTGCGGAGGGAGGAAGAGATGAGGGGAAAAATATAGGCAGTGTAAATGAGTGGGGAGGAACAAACGGAGAGGAAATGAGATGATGTGGTCTAAACTCTGGGGGAGAAGGAACAAAAAAAACCTTGACTGAGACTGTACTGGTGGGAGAGGGAGAGAGAGAGCGAGAGAGACAGAGAGACATGTTCCCTGCTAAAGAGAGCTCAGTTAACCGCAGACGGAGACAGTGGGTCGGCAAGCTGGTGCCAGCACGCACACACACACACACACACACACACACACATCCCTGTAATTACACCCTGGTCTAAATAAAATCAGAGCCAACCTACATTATTACGAGAACACGCTGAAATATTTAATACACTTACTATTCAGTCTCCCTGCAAAACAAACAGATTCAAACTAATAATCCAAACACAGTTTGCAGCTGAGCTCACTCAGCCTCAGACTGGTCTGATCTAAGGCTTGATTCTACTTAGAACTAAAACCGGGTTTAAAAGCGGAGAGTCTCCAGCTCACGGCTGTGTGAGGCTGTACTGGAGCACGACGGTGCTTCGAGCTAAATGCTAACCTCAGCATGCCTCACAGGAAGGTTGTTTCCATCCACTAGCTTTTATGTGCATTTTTTTATTTGCACATAAAAAATACATTAAAAAAACCTGAGTGGAAGCGCCGAAAGTGAGTGCAGGAACCTCAAGATATTGCAGAAAGCGTTACGCTTAGCTGAAGTGGGAAAAGTTGATGGACAAAAATGCAAACTAGCCGACTAGTCTAAAAGTAAGAAAACACCCAGAAAACAGTCCCGGTGGTCTTAGAAGAGTTGTGTTGCATCCAGGCTGCAACCTCCGGTTCAGCCGAGTGAAGTCAATGTGGAAGTGTCTTAAACCTGCATTCTCTTTAGTGTCCACCAGGGGGCGACTCCTCTGGTTGTATAGAAGTCTATGAGAAAATGACTACTTCTCTCTTGATTTATTACCTCAGTAAACATTGTAAACATGAGTTTATGGTCTTAATCCCTAGTTTCAAGTCTTCTTCAATACAGCATGATGTTCATTTAGTAAATGATGGTCCATTTAGAGTCAAACAGACCATAAAGCAGGGGATGCTTTAGGGCGGGGCTACACAGTGATTGACAGGTCGCAGAGCCGTATACGGCGTCTCTACGTCACTCCGCCACATTCCAAATATGGTCACTTCTGTTCATTAAGCGGCAGCCCTCCAGAGCAACAGCTGAGATAGGATGTCAATATGTAATATAAATCAGTGCTTTGCTCGTACATCTAGTCAAGAGTCCGTTCAATTTCTGTTCATTTCTGTACGGCCACCGACCTCCATCATAAGAGGCTTGTGTGCTGGATGACCTACTTTCAGCTGGAGTTCAAAGATCAAAGGGTATCTGACGATATCCAACAGTGAGATGTACGCAGCTCATCATCTGCGTCCTACTGTACCGGCCTGAAATGTCACCGTGCCAGCTCTAAAGATTACAGCTCCGTCCAGATGTGCAAAGCCGATGTAGCTGCAGGGAAAAGCTTTGTGCTAAATGAAGTCATTGGCTAAATCTCAACTAAGCTACCCCCCCCCCCCCCCCAAAAAAAAAAAAAAGAGGATTGGAATTGACCATATGGTCTAAATAAATCATCTGAGAGGATGTGTGTGCACGCATCAAAACCCATCTGACTGAACTACAAATATTCCGGATTCAAAAATAGCAGTTTGTTATCATAGCAGGTGTGTATCCACACGAGGAGCTTTGCATACATTTCAGGTAATGACTGTGTCATCCGGCCCTCTTGAAAAGAGCAGCGGAGCCAGACTGCCAACAGTAAAGGAGAGAAAGGGAGGAACGATGAGACAGAAGAGAGAATGACAGCATAATGAATTATAGAAGATAGCAATTTAAAATTTGAGCTCGTGTGTATTTTCCATCTCGTTCTGCCACACCAGACCAGAGCAGAGCTCGGCGAGCACGTTGCTCAAATCGAGCGAGATAAAGCCGTCAACAATGTTCTTGTGACTGTGTTTGCATTAACGCGCGTGTATCCATCTGCACCGCGGCAGAACAGACGTACTAAACCGAAGCCCACCCGCCATCGCTGACTCGTGCGATAACACTGGGAGGTTGAATTGTTGATCTGAATGCCGACACAGATCCTGATATTTACAATGTAAAACAAATCAATTATCATTTCCTGTAAATGTGGAGATCGTTCTAGAGCTACCTTCTATTTAACACACCGAGCTCGCTTTCTGACAGTTTGCTGTTGGAGGACATGAGAAGCTCTTGTGGTAGTAATTGGTGTCTCGCTCTCTCCCACTTGTTCGGCTTCACAAAGAGGAAGCCGTCTTAAATCCCGGTGGTACTCTGTGCCCTTAACTCTGACCCGGATTAACTGAAACCGTGGGAACAAACCCTTTTAACGTCAGACTCTAGAAACAAATGACAAGAGGAGGAATGCTCCTCATTAAGCTTCAGATTCTCTCACTTCATTTGTTTACTTACTTAATTTTAGCTTTAACTAAATAAATCACAAAATTAAAAGCATAACTGGGCAGAACACCATGAACACCTTGATATATAAGGCAATTAAATGTAAAAATACCACAAGTTGTTGTTTCATTATGTTGTTTGTTTGCCGTTTGTTGTACTTTTGCAGCAAATGTTTTTATTCGATTTTCAAGGATGTCGTTTATCATCTCGCACCCTACAGACCCTGTGGACGACACATTCAAATTAGCTTCAAGGCTAACCGTGGGCCTGGGAAATAAACTAAGAAATTAAATTAAATGATGGCATCGACATGGTATCATACAGCAATTGAACACTACAACCTTCACAATAGTGTATTTTTTTTGCAGGGTGATTTAAGTTGGTTTGCATTATACTTAACAGGAATTGATGAACTTGCAGTGTTGCAATCATAGACTGTCTATAAGAAGTGGACGTAGTCATCGTGACGTCACCCATTGCTTTGTGGTCGTGCGCCATCTTGGCTTTTTTGCAACCGATGAATGGAAATGACCATATTTGGAATGCGGGGGAGTGACGTAGAGACGCTGTGTCTCTGGTAACGCCAACGACCTGTCAATCACAGTAAGCCCCGCCCTAAAGCATCCCCTGCTTTATGGTCTGTTTGACTCTAAATGGACCATAACTTACTAAATGAACATCATGCTGTATTGAAGAAGACTTGAAACTAGAGATTGAGACCATAAACTCATGTTTACAATGTTTACTGAGGTAATAAATCAACAGAGAAGTAGAGTCATTTTCTCATAGACTTCTATACAACCAGAGGAGTCGCCCCCTGCTGGACAGTAGAGAGAATGCAGCTTTAAGACACTTCAGCATCGACTTCACTTGTCAGAACCGGAGGTTGCCGCCTGCTTGCAGTGCATATCTTGTATATGTTTTGTCTCTGTTGCACACGTTGTCTGTACCACTGAACGTTTCTCAACTCCTTTTTTCATTTGTTTTTGGAATAATGTCATTGTACCAACACCTCTCTAAGATTTAGAGGCGTTATAATGTTTGTAGGGAACGTGCGTGTACCTGTTGGCGGACAGGGTGCAGTCGATGGCGGGGCGTTTGGTCTTGGGGATGTAGTAGAGGGGGTAGCGGTCACCGTGGCGAATCATCACCTGGACAGACAGCAGCTTGTAGTCAGCAGGACTGTGACCTGTCAGAGGAGACTCTCATCAGCTTTCTTCATTGTTTTCAATGCAACAAGTAGTGTAAATAGCAACATAAATAGTTTTTCTACGACTTATAAAATGCTGTTTCACTTTTCTTATGAATCAATAAATAGTAAGACGTGTGTGAGAAAGACAAGAAATGATGCAACTGCAACCTTAAGAGATGTTACAGATAAATACCTTACAGAGAAAGGTCAAAATCACTGATTCGTGCATATAAAGCCGAGTGATTAAAGTTGCTTAATCAATAATTTGATATCACAAATGGCTCAAATGACTTGAGTGTAATGTGAAAGGTATCGCTCATGATGACGAACTTAACAGACAGTCTGTACTTTCAGTTCTACAGAGCTTCTTCAATGTATTTCAGCTTATTGTTTGGGTTTTATGATTCGTAACTTCACTGTTTTGGTTGTTATCACTCTCATCAGTGTCGTTTTGAGACTCAGCAGGCAGATATTTTCCGTGCTGAAGCTCTGATAAACCCATCGTACACCACCTGCCGAGCCCCAAACTGCAGACAGACGGACAAAGTTAGCGACTACCCAGTAACATGGCAGCGCATTTAGCAGCTTAAGAGCCAAATACATTTCTCAGGAGATGGTGGAGACCAAAACGGAGGTAAAAAGGCGAGTGAACATTGGACTTAGGACTTCAGCACCACCCCTCAAAATGAATGCTAATGTTTGCCAACAGGTTAGCTGTAAACACCTGTTAGATCGTAGCATGCCAGAGTTGTCGACAGCTTGTTTCCGCGACCCCAAAATATGACCACGGCCTAATTCTACGAGTAACTATAAATCTAGTAACTGAATCTTTCAAGTTTAGGTTAAAGTGCTCAACTTGGGAGCTCCACCAAAGAGCAAATGTTGATTTAACAAATCAAACAAATGCACAGCAGCAGCACGATCAACAAATGAGTTTGCTGAGTTCAAAAGAATGGACTGTGGACTGAGAGAGTGTTTAACAGTAATTTAAGAAGATAAGAGGAACCAGGACACTTTGAAAATGATCGTGCCGCGGAGAAAATAACACCACCTGAACAAGAAACGTTATTCCCGATTGATTTTCAATAACTTCTAATCTAAAAGATGGATTTTACTTCTTCGGAGACAAAAACTGCCATCCGGAGACAGAGAGTCAGATTCAATTAGCGTCGGCCGGTACAACTTGTCTTAGGTGGTGACGGATGTTTGTATGATCGGCCTGAGGCGATGCTGACTTTTCAATTCGTGGGGGAAAAAAACAGTAACTGTGCTGATGTGCTGAAGACAGGAAGCACTGCAGCATTATGGATGACGCAATCTAGTGGAAATGACTTTCGCACAATTAACACAACCCTCGAGTCCTGACACACTAAATCTGACATTATGACTATATTAAGTATTTATGAGCTGTCAGTCATTCTGGGTGATTCTAGCAGTGGGGGAAATTGATCGAACTTTTTTGTCTCTGAAACAGTGATGCTGTGACGCCAAATTCGAAAGAATGAACGAAGTTTATTGCCTATGATCAGTTACGATTTAGGTCTTCCAGAAACACAAACCATACATGACAGTCATCCACAGACTTGGATTAAAAAGACTGTATTTGTCAGTGTTGAGGTCTCACCCTCCCAGGCCTGTTCGGTGCGGTTGGGAGTGTTGCAATAGCTGTAAGCCTCGGATATGGGGTTGGGCTCCTCGGTGTGAGGCATCGGGAACACTCTCTTTCGGCTCTTCCCCAGAGCCATCCCAACACCTCCATCTGCCACCTGGAAGGGCCGCTCCTCCAGTATGGGAGCGATGGGGATCAGGTTCACTGCAGGGAAAAGAGAATACAAAGAAAGTGGGAAAAAAAAGGGGATGAAGAGTGGAGGTCAAATAAAAGAGGACAGAGGAAAACAAGACTCGCGCCAGCCTCAGCAGCTGCATCATTCCAATATCATGACATCATGCAAAGATCAATGCGTTTGTGTCCAAACCACAGTGCTGAGGACCAATCAGAGTCCTGTGAGGAGCTACAGGCGGGGCTTAGGTGTGTGACACTCGACACAGAGAGGCAACGGTTTGTTCTAAACAACAATGGCGGCTCCTGTAGAGGTTAGCGTAGATGCTGCAGTAGCATCAGTTGTATCAGAACTGGAGAGTATTTCTTCACCGACAGAAGAGCAAAGAACACTGAAGGCTTTTCCTGTTGGAAAAGACGTTTTTCACTCTTCTCCCGACTGGCTTCGGTAAGAGTCTGATTGACAGATTGACACTAGATAAACAGTCAGGTGATCACCATTAGGGTACATCGTCTGGGGACAATGAATGCCTGAACAAAACATCAATCCATCCCATAGATGTTGAGATACTCGAGTGAACACTTTGAACTGATGATGGCACCAGATGAAAAGGCAAGGAATCACCAAAGGCATCTGGATTCATCCTCTGGAGACCATGCCAAATGTCACGGCAATCCAACTTAATGATGGCGCTAAAGGAAAAGTCAGAGATTCAATTATTTGGGAACCATGAAGAAACAAAGTTTCATGGCAATTCATCCCATAGATTTTTTGAGATTTTTCAGTTTGAAACAAAGCGGTGAACCGACTGACGGACCAACATTTCCATCATCGAGCCATGTTGTTAACCGACAATGTAAAAGATCTAAAACCTGCTAAATGTAGAGATTCAAGAGGGATTTACAGGCAACAACTTCTTAACGGGACCAAGAAAAGTAAAAAGGCCGACTGACAACGCACTGAAAGAGTGCCTAAAATTAAGAAAACCAATTCAACTGTAGCTCATCTCCATGTCAACAGTTCTGTACCCCAAAACCCCTCACTGCTTCCAGTACGTTGCCTGGACACCAATGACCTGTGACCCCCGGCAGAAATGCTCCAATAAGAGCAGAGATGTTGTGGGAACGGGAAGGCCGATTCACAAAGATCCAACTCCCAAGAAGAAACGAGTTGAACCCGTACGGCCCTTTGGCAGGCGCCTGCATCCCATCATCCAGCACAAAGAGCTCATGGTTTATAGTCGCCATAACTACCCTCAGATTTAACTCATCTACACAAGTGTAGGTAAATAGTTCCGCACCATCTCTCTCTCTCCTGCTCGCATTCACACGGCCATAGTTTTACGTTTCCTCTTCTCTGCAGCTGAGCTGATAAAGTCATTTTGTGCAAATATCAACCCTCTCATGTTTGCTCTATAAACGAGCTCCTAATTTAAGTTTTTGAGATGGTGCCCAACGAAGTGTGACAAGAACCCAGTAGGTATGAGGCCGACTCAACAGTTATTACCACGTTTGCTCTGACAAAGCAAGCGACCTGAAGGCATCACCTTAGGCTCTGGGGAAGTAGTACAACTATTCTTCACAGTTTTCTGACATTTTAAAGTCAAAATAATGAATTGTAACTAATAATCCACAGATGACGTGTCACAATGACAAGTCAATTAATCAATTAGTCAATCAACAATACTTATTCAAGCAAACAGTCTAAACTTTTGGTTGTTCCAGCTTTTCTTTGTCTTCTATTTTAGCAAATTGAATATCTTTGGGTTGGAAACTATTTTAATCCGTCAAAGATCACCGCTATGTTTTTACTATTTTATGATCTTCTGTATACAAAACGATTACCAAATAATCAAAGAAATTATCAACAGATTAATCAATGCTCAAAGTAATATTCTTTGGCAGCCCGAAAACTGTGATTGAGTCACATAAATCAGCCAACATGGAGCACCAGGAACTATCATAACAAACCTCAACAACATGCAGTGTTCTGCAAAAATGGAACGTATTGCTTGTGGACTTTTTGAAAGCAAAGCAGCCGTCTGACTATCTGCCCGGCACCATCTTTCTACAGGATGCAGACTTTTACAAATCTCACTCATCTCTCTTCAACAGCGAGGCTTCATCGTATCGCCTCATCTGAACACAAGCAGTTGAAAAGGCTACGCAAAAAGGTACTAAACAGTTTTATTCTTATTATCTTGTAAGACAAGTTGATAAATACTGGACAACGGATCTTCATAAAACGTCTCAGAATAGTTCAAGGGATTGAGGAGGATAAACGTCTCAATCGACGCCGGGCACAAAAGCCTTTTCTCAAGTCAGAACTAAAGTTAAATAAGTGGTGAAATCCACGTGAGGATCTTCTCTACCTCTCGTTGGTGAGTGGCAACGTCTTCATCAAAACATTGTAGATCTTCTATAAAAAGCTTTTTCTGCATGAACTCACCGCTGACGAGGAAGAGGAGAAGGTGTGCGGCGACGGCGGAGACCATTTTAGACGACTGCTCGGTCCGGCCACGCAACACTGGAGCTCATTCATACCACAACCTGTCCCCCTCTTACACTTTGTGCCTCATACACGGACACCGCCCACTGCGAGCTACCCATCCACACACACACACACACACACACACACACACGCTAGCCAAACTTTTTGGAGGCCAGCTCAGCCACAGTCACCTACACAATGGGGCTTTTGTAACCCGCTGCCCAACACAACCAAGTGCATACACGGCAACGGCGCAGTGAGCTCACTGTAGCGCGCACACACAACTTTAAATGTTTCCAACTTTCCGTCCACCTACATTTAGATCTCACGAACACAAAAGGAGGCGGCCTGAGACGGCTTTACAACAAAGTTGACACTTATAAATGTTACATTTCTCTTGAATTTGAATGGTTTAACACTCCGCTTATATACACACACACACACACACACACACACACAGCTAAACATAGCACATGCACCCTGTTCAATCTCGGAGCCCATTGTTACACACACACACACACACACACACACACCCTGTTCAATCTCGGAGCCCATTGTTACACACACACACACACACACACACACACCTGCACAGCTTCATTTCTACCTGAAGTAAAAAGGCTGCTCACCGTCGCAAAAATGCGAACACACACACACCCACCCGTGAACAGGTACTCTGAGAATGTGGTTTGGCCTGAAATTAAAGACTCCACTTACCTGACTGGGCTGGGCCGGCAGCACTGTGGTTACCAAAACCTAGTGGAGCAGCTGGAACAAATATTGACACAGGCTAGGCACTGTGTGTGTGTGTGTGTGTGTGTGTGTGTGTGTGTGTGTGTGTGTGTGTGTGTGTGTGTGTGTGTGTGTGTGTGTGAGAGAGAGAGAATGGAAACCTGCAGTGGTCCATCATAAATCGACCTTTAAGGTCTCAAATGACAGATTGTTCACGTCACTATTTCTGCCAAGATAAGAATCTCACTTTATATCTCTTTCTCACACGGAACTAATGAAAACTATTTACGACTGGAGGAGGCAGAGCTATGCAGCCCGATAAACAATCCGCAGGGACACAAACCGTATCCGAGCACAGATTAACATTCGGCTCGGCACATTTAATTAAGCACGAGTGCTTGGCAATGGAGCAACAGCTAGGGATGAACTGATAAGACCCCTGGCTGCCCCCGTGCTGATCCGCACCCTTTAATACGGAGTCTCTTCTGCTCGCAGCGAGTGCGATCTGAAGTTACATTTTATTTAAAGTGGCTCAGTGGTTAGCAGCATCACCTCACAGCAGAGTCTAACGCCATGCTGGCAGCTCTGTGAAGCTGTACTTACTGCTCACATCAGCATACCAACATGCTAACATAATGCTAGCATGCTCATTTTGAGCCGTTACGTTTACCATGTTTATGATTAAAGTACAGCCGAGGCTCGTGGTAGAGTCCTGAGCTTTGCAGGTATTTGGACAAATTAAAATGTTGACCTAATGATGGCGCTAAATCGTCTTCGAAAAATGTGGCTGACTGAGCGTCCATGTCAAACCCCTCAGCTCCATTCCCCAGTCAGAAAACAGTTAAGTTACATTTTACTGGTAAAATACAGCAAACACTGTAACAAGCCAACGTTTCAGGCTTAAAAATAAGTCATTATTTTACTGACCTGCTTTAGACTGATCTAAGAGCAAAATGAACGCAGGCCTTTTCTGAACACATATCCAGATGTCAGCGCCGCCGTCTCTTCTCTGAGAGCCCGGTCTCCTCTGGCAGCAGTGGGGCAATTAAACAGTGGCTGCAGACACTGGAGAAAGTAAGAATGGGAGGAATGTGGAGGAAGGAATCTGCAAAGTGCTTGGAGCTCTGCCTATTTGACACTTAACAACGCTTGTTGGTGGATTACCGTTTTGGGAAAAAAAGCTACAAAAGCTGGTGCTGAGACATTTCCACCGCTATCAAACTGTCCGGACATTTATTTGGACTATTTACGGTCTTTAAGTGTAAACTTGTGTCTCTCGTCTCCCTCAAACAAGCATTGATTCTATTCCAGCTCATTTTCCCCTGTGGTTAAACCGCGCTCATCGCTCACAGGCAACCTACCTTTCTCTCTTTCCTTTTATATCCTCCCATGACGTCCCCCCTCCTCACTGTGAACCTACCAGCACTCCTGGAGCACTTAACTCCCATCAAGCTCTGCTTCGCCTCTCCCCTCGCTGCTGCTAACATCTCAAAATAGTTCCCCCCTTTTCTCTGCCTTACAGCAGTTGCCCTCGCTGTCGTCACTTCCCCTTCTGGGAGTCCCCAGTGTGTCAATCAGCGCGCCCATCGCGGCCCTTTGGGTGCCACGTTAGCAGTCATTCCCGGTTTTAATTTGAGGTAGCCTGGAGCCAGAGAGGGGCATTTACTCCTCCATCGATCGTCGGCCCGTCACTCAGTCTCTCACGGTAATGGTCGACAAGCGGGCCGAGACAGACGACGTTGCAGAGATACAAACTACGGACTGAAATGCAGGCAGAAGAGGATGATTTACAAAACAATAATGAACATGAAACGTGGAACAAAAGCAGACGCTGACCATGTATTAAACATGAGGAGAAACTCCAACACGCTTTCTCGTGGGTAAAGGCTCAAATGCTTCTCTACAGCGTATGCGATGAATAAATGATGACAGCAGCTTTTCTCCAGCCGTACTACGGGTGAAAAAATAAACTTATTTTTAAAAATAAATGAAGAAAAAAAAAACAGGAGGACGGAGTTTTACAAGAGGAGGAGATTACAGGACGGGAGATGAGTTGGGTTTGATAGCGAGGCATTAATAATAACTGAAACAGCCTCCTCCTCCGCTCAGGCGGTCAAGCACACATTATTATATCTAGCGGAGCAGGAAGGAGGCTTGGGAGGCAACTGTGTATTTGGGATCGCAAAGTGCAAACGCCAGACAAGTATGAGTAAGACCTTAGTTGCTCTTGCCATCTTTTTTTTTTTTTTGTTACACCTCTGATCTTGCGTGACATTTAAAGTAACAGAAGTGGCGAGACTCTGGCAAACATGCAGAAAAAAATACTGTCGCATTCACCCATAATCCTGTGTGTGTGTGTGGGGGAGAGAGCGTGATTTATGAGTCTAATCTTACATGCTTGTCCAGGCACAAGCTTACCAGCACCACAAACACTTCCACCGCACTGAGGGTTTTTTTTAGTTTTTCTTAGGAATCCAACACTAAGTAGCTTAATCCTACACATTTCCATTTGGACGTCACGCCCCACCTGCTTCATCACCCGCTGTTTTTCTAATCTCGCCTGCGAGGCTTGCAAATCACTTCCACTGCAGGAGAGGCCGTCTCTCCACTCGCTGAGCGCTGGTTTCCTTGCATTGACTGCGGCTGGCGAGGAAAACGCCGTCTAGACAATACCTACAGGAGAGGCTGAACAATGACCTTATGGGGGGACAGACACGCAGCGGCTTTCCACAGCAGATCTGATCTCCCGAGGGTTTCAGAGCATCCAGAGTCCCGCTGCTGCTGCTGGATATTTATAGGAAGCCTGTAGAGGATTGAGCTTTGTTTTGGTATGAATGGGCTCTCTTGAGCGGGAAGGCGATGAAAGGCTATGCATGCATGAACACAAACAAGCATTGCAGACAGAAGACCTGGGCAACTTTTCAAACGGAATATTTTGTTCCACATTAAAATCTGAGCACTGGGCCGGGGCTTCGGAGAGAGAGAATGAATATGTAAAGGAGTCTGAGCTGAGCACAAACAGAGCACTTACAGAACTGGAGGCTCAGGCTGATGATGGCCAGCGCCGCCCCGCCCACCACCACCAGGAGGAAGAAGCGGTTACGAGCCAGCATCTTATGGTGCGATTGGTCCTCGTCCCTGTCAGTCAGCCATCCAGATCACGGCCCATCCCTGCAGTCTGGACACAAAACACGAGTGAGCTTACACAGCAGTCCAAAGTCAAAATAAGTGTAAGCTACTGCACAGTAGAACCCTATGTTCTCCGGGTTCTATGGGTTCTCAATGTAAAAGATTGGTAAGGGTTAGCTTCACAGTTCAAGTTGCACAAGAAGGAAGGGAGATGAACGTTTCAAATGCCCTTTGAATTGTAAAAAATCTATTCAGCGACTGAAGATATCAATGGAAAAGTTTGGAAAAATGAGTGCAATGACTGAGTTATGAGAGAGAAAGGAGTGCAAT